GGGTGACGCGAGGACACGTCCCCTCTCGGTGTCTTGGCTGGCCCCGGCGGAGGCGGCGCAGGCCCTGCTCAGTGCTTCAGCGGGGCGGCGCTTTCCATGCTCTTTATTCAGGTTCATTTTTCTGTAAGATATTTAAAGAGAAGAGTTTGTATTATTTTTTCATACGACTTAGAGTTTGCCATTTGTCACTGCCTCAGTTTCCGCTTTACCGGAGGGATGAAACTGTGAAGCGTCTCCGCGCACTTTGCCCGGGAAGTAAAACGCGGCGTCCGCTGCCGAGGCGGGGAGGAAAACTTGAAACTGTGATGTAGCCCAAGGCGCGAGTCAATAAATCCGTCCCCGCTCCGCTACCGGCCTGCTTGGGAATTGCTCGCTCCCGCGTGCCCCTGCTCGGCCTCCCCATGGAGCTCGGGGGACGCTGAGGCCCACGACAGCTGCTGATGGGGACGGTCCCATGCGGCTCTGGCGCCGTGTTGGTACCAGCATCCGGCACAATGCTGGGGCAGAGGAGAGTTGCGCTGTGGCTTCGAAGGCACCGTGAGCACCTCCTTCCCCCATCACAGCCTCTTCCATGAAGCATCCCCTGTTTCCAGCTCACCATGCCCAAAAAGGTTCCCCAAAGTGTGTCCTCGCTCCTTGGAGCCGCATCGTTGCTGGCCGGTGCTCCCCGCCTGGGTTTCGCTGCCCTCTTCAGCGCGGGCAGGCGTGGGGACAGGCAGACGGGGTTGCACGGCCCGGGGCAGGGAGCAGGAGCTGGGCAGCCAAGCGTGTCCCAGCCGCGGCGCCCGGGGCCTTGGCACGGGGGTGAAGCTAAGTGACTACGTGCAGGGGTTGCTGTAGTGCTTCCTGCACACGGTCTGGGGATGACGAGTCCAATGCGTGACCCAAGGGTGGCCTATGCAACCCTGTGTCCTTGTTGCTTTCCAAAAGCTAACGGGGTCATTGGGGTGGCTTTGGGGAGAGTGGTGGGGAGCAAAGCTAGCAGGCATGGCTGCTTCCATGTTGCACTCTCCCTGCTAGGATAAATCTTTTTAAGAGACTTATTATCTGTGGGTACCAGCTTGAGAAGCCTCAAAGCCTCAGCGTTGGCTTTTGGTGGGCCTGAAAAACCTCGCTGCTAAGGTGGTTGGGGCCAACCGGGAGACAGAGACGGAGCGGGGTTTTTAGGCTGGCCAGGGGGTCTAACAGAGCCTGCAGCTGCTGGAGGAGCGTCTCCAGGGGGGCTGGAACAAGCTCCTCTGGTGCCAGCAGAGGATAGAACAAGGGGCAACGGCCACGAGCTGCCACTTGGGAGGTTCAGGCAGGACAGTGGGAGAAACTCCTTGCCCAGAAGGGTGATGCAGCTCCAGGATTGGATGCTGGGAGGGTCGTGTCACCATGGGGTTCATCACCACAGGGGATCTTCGGAAGCAGTTAAATGTCATTCCTGGCCAGTCCGTGGGCCATCTGATCTGACCAAAAAGGAACGCACGCACAGGGCCGTGCTCCCAACGCGGTCCCTCCTGCTGCCCATGCGGAGCAGGTGCTCCGTGGAAGGAGGTCCCGGTGGTGGAAGGACAGGAGGAGCCCTGTTCCAGCGTGGCGCCAGCCCTGTGACATCACAGCGTCCCTGGTGACATCACCTTGTGCCAGGCGTTCTTTGCTCAGGGTGTAGGCAGGGAGGCTATT